AACCCTGAAGATTGCACCCCCGCTCCTCGCCGCGGGCCGCAGGGCGCGCGCGCTGGGCGCCGTCGGAACTCAGCCCGCCAGACGCCCCGTCGCGGCCGGGCTCCGCCGCCACGGCGCGGGTCTATAGTGGGGCTCGCGAAGGCCGGCACCTGGCGAGGCCGCCTACAGGCCTCCCGGCGCGGGACACGACCCTGGCCCGTCAGAGGCTTGCCCCGCAGGCGACGGCCCCCGAGCTGGCGGGCGGGCGCCTGCGTTCCCGGAGGTCTCGGCGCCCGCCGTCGCCGCGGCCGCGCCCGGCGCCGCCCGCGCCCCGAGGCTGGAGGCACGGCTCTCGCGGACTGGGCTGGCGCGGGCCTCGGCCAACGAGCCCGACGCGACATCGACGGCCTTCCTGGGGCACCTGGCTTCAGACGGGCTCGACGCGGCGACGGCGGATCAGAAGGAGCGGCGGCCGCTGCAGGCCGCCCGCAAGCAGGCCAGGCCGGCCCCTTCAGATTCGTAGGACTTCAGCGCGGCGACGCCCTCGGTTCTCGACGCCTTCAACCGCGCGGCGGAGCGCTTGAGTTTGGAAGCGCAGCCCACGCGCTGCGCTGCAGCGCCGCCAGCGACGGCCCCTTCCTTGTCTGCTCGGCGCCCCCTGCGCGAGGTCAAGAAGCATGGCGCGCGGGCCACGTGCGGTTCGTTCCGACGCTACGCCAAGAGAACCGAGCCCCAACAGCAGATGAACGAGATGACGGATCAGGTCCTCGCCTTCAGAAAGCGGGTCGAGGCCAACCTCCTGATGGCCGTGGAGACGGCCGCGGTGGGCTGCCCGATGCCGGGGACCGCCCCCCAGCGTCTCGCCGCATCGTTTCGTGGCCGATTGAAACCATCTCTGACGAGCAAGCCCGCGGCTGTCTGACCCGACAAGCGACGGCCTCCCATGGCCGTGCGCGCATGCTGCCTTGCTTGGTGTTCCCAGGGAGTGGCTCTGCCTTGCCCCCTGTCGCGTTGGCACTGCGGGCGCGAGATTTTGCAGCTCTCCGTTTTGATCTAAGCAGGCATCGCCGGCGTTCGACTGGCTTCGGCCCGCGGTGCGACAGAGGATCGTGGGATGGCTTCGGGGGCCGCGTGTCCTGGGCGTCTGGGCTTCCCCCCCGCTGGCTTCGGGCCCTCCCGGTCCTCGGTCTCGGGGCCTCCCGGGGGCTTTTGCCATGCGGATCCTCGGGTACCAGCATCTTCGGGTCCCAACGGTTGTTGAGCAACTGGCGTCTGCCCGCCAGACTTGCACGCCTGCTCTGAATCGTGCGTGTTGATTTGCGTCGCAGTCTGTTGATTGCAATGTGTGACAGTGCGGAGAAGAGCACCGTCGCACAGCTAAATTGTGGTTCTGCTCAGTATGTTATCAGACCTTTCCGGTCCGTCCTCGTATGTACGGGCCATGGCGGTAGATGTTCGGGTGATCGTCAGTACCATGTGCTTGCGCCGAGTTTTGATAGTCATGGTGTGCCGTGGGCTCGCAGTATCGACGAGTATCCCGCTCGCTTTGCCCAATGCAGTTCGGATTGGGTGATCAGAGCGGCCCTCCATTCTCGGGATGCTCGGATATGCAATTTGGCTCTATGCTTTCGAGCCTCGCTCTTGCTAGTGTTACTTGATGCTGCCAGTTAGTTGGTCGGCCCGTCGGGCCAGGATGAGCAAATATCCAGAGTACGTGCATGTTGATTTTGGTGCTGAACTGTCCTGTCTCTGGCGCCCTTTCTTTTCAGGCGAGACGGCCGCCTTCGCCCCAGGCGGGAAACACAATTCCCTGGCACCAGGAAAGGAATAATATCATATCATATAGTTGGTTGGTAAGCGTTTTGATTGTTATCATGGTGCGTGACGCAACCACTGCGGCTGAAGTCTCCCTCCCTTCTTCCTTTTCTCGCCGACGTGTATCTCGATTTGGATTGCTGCACTGTCCTGCCTCTAGCGCCCTCATTTTCAGGCGAGACGGTCGCCCTCGCCCCAGACAGCAAGCGCAAATCCATGGCACAGGGAAAAGAACAATAACATGATGAACATGGCCATCAGTATCATCATCAGCAGCCTCATCATGCTCATCACCATCGTCATCATCATCATCAGCATCATCATCATCGTCATCGTCATCATCATCATCATCATCATCATCATCATCATCATCATCATCATCATCATCAACATCGTCATCGTCATTGTCATCGTCATCATCGGCATCGTCATCACCATCATCCTCATACGAATCATCACCATCATCATCATGAGCATGATCCTCCTCCTCCTCCTCCTCATCATCATCATCGTCATCAGCAGCAGCATCATCCTGATCATCATCCTCATCATCAGCAGCATCATCAGCATCAGCAGCATCATCATCATTAACTTCATCGTGAACATCAAGATCATCGTCGTCATGGCCCTCATCATCATCGGCCCTAGGCCGCCACGCCCATCTCGGCACACGTCTCACACGCTTCGTAGTCTCATGGGCCTTATGGGCCTCATGGGCCCATGGTATTGTTTGCATGTGGGCGTCGCACTCCTTTGCGGCACGCCACTCACACGTGGCCCCGCAGGGGGCTGCACCGCAGGTCACAGTGGCACCGGTCGCATGTAAGCGTCGCACCACTTCGGGCACGCTCTTTACACGATTCGTGGCCTCAGGGGGCGTTCCACCGAAGGCCCCCCGCGGCACCGTTCGCACGTGGGCGTCGCACCCTTTCGGCACGCCCATCACACGTTTCGTGGCCCCAGCTCCACCGAAGGCCCCAGTGGCACCGTTTGCATGTGGGCGTCGCACCCTTTCGGCACATCCATCACACGCTTCGTGGCCCCATAGCGAGCTCCATCGAAGGCCTCACTGGCACCGTTCGCATGTGGGCGTCGCGACCCTTTCGGCACACCCCTCACACGTATCGTACCCCCAAAGGGAGCTCCACCGAAGGCCTCAGTGGCAAAGTCCGCACTCGTCCCCCCGCCCGTGTCGGCACACCCCTTACACATCTCTGGAACGCTCTGGAACGGCCACCGTTTCCGATACATCCAGCCGAACCGCCGGCTCTCAGAGATTCCCCATCCGAGTTGATCCTCATTTTGGTTTTGTCTCGGGTAGTTGGACAACAGAAGCCATAACATTCAAGGAGGGAGGAGGAGGAGGAAGAAGAAGAGAGGAGGAGGAGGAGGAGGAGGAGGAGGAGGAGGAGGAGGAGGAGGAGGAGGAGGAGGAGGAGGGGGGGAAGAGGAAGGGAGGCCGGGAGGAGGACGAGAAGGAGGAGGAGGGGGAGGAGGAGCAGGAGGGGGAGGAGAGGGCGGGTTAGTTTGGGGAGGCCCGCAGCAGGGCCAGGGTCATGGCAGAAGGGTACTCGTCGAGGGCTACATGCGAACCCTACCCCTGCCCCCCGACCCCGGCTTCATCCGGGCGGCGCCGGCGTGCCACGCGAGCGCGGCTTGGACTCTGGGCATGATGGCGCAGACACGCCTGGGGGTCGCTTCAACCATGCAACCGTTAGGGTTTGGGGCCACGGTTGGGAACCCTTGAATAGCGCATCGCTCCGCCGGTTCCGGCCCACCACGCCTCGGCGCGACGCGCTGTCCACCTCCTGGTCCCCAGGCGTCCGCGTCCGGAGCCTCTCGGAGCCTCCCGCCCCGCGGAGCGGAGCGGCACGCGTTCCACTTGCACGGCACAGCGTGTCGCCGGGGCCGCCGCCGCAGCACGTGAAGCAGAATTTCCCGACGGCAGGCCTGCCTATATGCGAAGACGAATCGGAGGCGAATCGGGTAGCAGGAGCCATGAGATGAAGGATGAGGGAGGTAGTGTGGGAAGGAGGAGGATTTACGCAGCAGGATTTAGCGGTATTGTGACCGCCGCGAGGGTCTCGAGACGGCCTTGCTTTCAGAATGCAGCCCCAGCTCTTCCAGGATTGACATGTCGGCTGGTTGAGCGAAGGGCCCCTCTCGGCCCGAAATAAACCGAAGGCTCAAAAGCTGGCCAGAACAAAACTTTCCTGTGGTGGGATGCTTCACCTCCAACATCCTCCGAGGCCTACCTCCAAGCACCTGGGGGTCCCTTTTGGTTGACACAGAGACAACAGCTTAGCCCACTGGTCGCGCACACATCTGGCACACCTCCTGCACAACACACGAGTGTGACGGATGATTAGCTGATGTCATACTCGCCTGAAGCGCTCGTTCCGCGCATCCCGTCCCCATGAGAACCCATCCAACGCGGGAGAGGCATCGGCGGCCTAGGGGGGAGCGCAGCTCACCTCATCCGTCTCCGCCCTCAGGCTGGGGCCGGAAGGGGTGTTGGGCGGGGCTGCCCTGGACAAGCTGCACGTTCTGAAGGTAGGCATTCCGGTGCCAGCAGGAGGAGAAGGAGGAACGAGAGGGAGGCAGGGGGAGGGAGAGGAGGAGGAGGAGGAGGAGGAGGAGGACGAGGAGGAGGAGGAGGAGGAGAAGGAGGAACGAGAGGGAGGCAGGGGAAGGGAGAGGAGGAGGAGGAGAGGAGGAGGACAAGAGGAGGAGGGGAGGAAGGAGGAGAGGGGGGGGGGAAGAGAAGGAGGAGGAGGAGGAAGAGGAGGAGAGGAGGAGGAGGAGGAGGAGGAGGAGGAGGAGGGGGATGAGGAGGACGAGGAGGAGGAGGAGGAGGGGGAGGAGAAGAGGAGGAGGAGGGAGGAGGAGGAGGAGGAGGAGGGGGAGGAGGAGGGGGAGGAGGAGGGAGGGGAGAGGAGGGATGGGAGGGAGGGAGGGAGGGAGGAGGGAGGGAGGGAGGGGGGGAGGGGAGGAGGAGGAGGAGGAGGAGGAGGAGAGGAGGAGGAGGAGGAGAGAGGAGGAGGAGAGGAGGAGGAGGAGGAGGAGGAGGGGCGGAAGGGGGAGGAGGGGCAGGGGAGGGAGCGGAGTGGGGGGGAGAAGACGGAAGGAGAGGAGGGCGGGAGGGCCCTGCCGACGGCCGGCGGGCCGCCGCCTCGACTCGCGCGCGTCCTTGCGGCCGCTGAGGCTGGCTCCGGGCGTTCGGCGGCGGGAGGTGGATCAGCGCTTTCAGCGGCTGGAACGACGTCGCGGACCTGCACCTCCGTGGGGGGAGCTGCAGGGAGGATTAGGAGGAGGAGGAGGAGGAGGAGGATCAGAAGGAGGAGGGGGGGGAGGAAGAGGAGGAGGAGGAGGAAGAGGAGAAGAAGGAGGAGGAGCAGAAGGAGAAGGAGGGAGGACGAGGAGGAGGAGAGGGAGCGGGATGAGAAGGCGGAGGAGGAGTACCTCAGCAATCCAAGTCCCCAGTCCCCTGACACGCTCCTAGAAGTCCTCCCTTCCACCACAAGAAGTGTCCCCCCAGTGACAGAACAGCACAGATGGGCCTGCCAGTTTAGCGAGCGCTCCGCTTTGAAAAGGAAATACCTTGCATCTTAATGGCGCGTAATCAGTGACGCGACAGACGATGATAGTTCAACGAGGTGCCCAGCGAGACCGAAGAAGGACCCCCCCGGTCTGTGTAACTGTGGCACAAACTTGCACTTGTGGCCGTGAACTTCGACGACATCTCAAGCAACAGCTCCATGTTGAAAAAGTTGCTCGTCTTCAAGCTTAACGAAAGCTCAGGCGAGAGCTCCTTTTTTGAAAGGGAGTAGCTCTCCACCCCTGTAAACGTTGCATCAAAAAGCGGATTCGCGTGGCACTGATGCGAGAGCCTCATTCCGAAAATTGCAAGTGCTCAACCCTTGAAATTGGAGGATGTTTAGATTTAAAGACGAATGTGCGCGGCGTTGAGGCGAGAGCCCCATGTTGGAAGCCATTCCATTTTTCGTCCGCGAAGTTGCTGCAAATTGGGAAAGCCGAAAGTGCGCGGCGCAAAAGCGAGAGCCACAATTTCATCAAAATGCCCCCACCCATTAATTTGTTTTGCAAATGTTTCAGACGAGTGCACGCGGCGCTGAGGTTAGAGCCTCACTTTGATTATCCCAGCAAAGCAACCTAACAGCATGTGTATGAGCATATATGGAAGCATGCCTCTTTAGATTCATGTTCGGATTTGACTGGAAGCGAAACGCTGCGATCAATAGTGGACGTGTCTGCAAAGGAGGCACTACTATCAACGAGACAGCACATTCTTTTTGTGCTCATTCCAAACGAGACGCTGCTATGCAGGGGTGTAGGTGCAAACGAGACGCTGCTATCAATGGTTTCCGCCCCAAACGAGACACGAATATCAATTGATTTAATTTCGAACGAGACACTACTACTTACTACTACGGATGCGTCTGGAAACGAGACGCTGCTATCAATAGTGGATGTCTCTGGAAAGGAGGCACTGCTATCAACGAGGCAGCACGTTGTTTTTGCGTTCATTCCAAACGAGACGTTGCTATCAATGGATGTAAGTCCAAACGAGACACTGCTATCAATGGATTCAGCCTCCAACGAAACGTGCTGAGGAGCACCGTATCTCACTATCCACGGCTGCACACGAGTGCAGGTTGAGAAGCACCACGCGAATGCAGGCTGAGAAGAACCACGCGAATGCAGACGGCAAGGCTGAACAGCACCGCCACGAAGCAGGCTGCATCTCAAGGCTCCTCAAGCTCGCGCAGGCCAGCCCAGCGCCTGTCGGGCCTTCGACGATCGTGGCGCACACCCGCCCAAAGTTGGCGCAGTGGGTGCTGGACCTCTTTCCAGACATCATTGGCTGCTCGAACCCGAAGCTAAAGGAGGCGACCGTGAAAGACCCAAGCTGAGGAGTAGCGCGAGCAGGCGCGGCCGCAGACGCGCCTCGGTCCCTCCCCGCAGGCTGAGAAGCACCGCGGGAGGCCGAAGATGGGGACGAGTCTCGCGGCGAGGCGAAGGCCATTGCAATGTAGACTGCGCAGGACAGGCACCTTGTGGCGAGGGGCATTGGAATGTCGGAGACACGTTCTGGACCAAAGACGGCTATCAGAGGCAGAGGGGAAATTGGATTGTATCAAGAGTGCGGGAGGTTTCGAACGCCTCAGTAATAGCGCTAAGAACACAAGGACGGCAAGCAAAAGGCAGCCCGGGAATGGAGGTCTGGGAACTCGATGAACACGAAGTTTCCTACAGTTGGCTCCGGGCATTCAAAATGTATCCCGGGAGTGGAGTTCTGGGAACGATGTGGCCCGGGAATGGAGTTCTGGGAACTCGACGAACACGAAGTGGCCTACAGTTGGATGTGGGCATTAAAAATGTGGCCCTACTACTACTACTACTACTACTACTACTACTACTACTACTACTACTACTACTACTACTACTACTACTACTACTACTACTACTACTACTACTACTACTACTACTACTACTACTACTACTACTACTACTACTACTACTACTACTACTACTACTACTACTACTACTACTACTACTACTACTACTACTACTACTACTACGTACTACGACTACTACTACTACTACTACTACTACTACTACTACTACTACTACTACTACTACTACTACTACTACTACTACTACTACTACTACTACTACTACTACTAACTACTACTACTACGACTACTACTACTACTACTACTACTACTACTACTACTACTACTACTACTACTACTACTACTACTACTACTACTACTACTATTACTACTACTACTACTACTACTACTACTACTACTACTACTACTACTACTACTACTACTACTACTACTACTACTACTACTACGACTACTACTACTAAAATTCCCCAAGGGGCTCGTCGGAGACGCCAAAGGCGTTGAAGTCCGAGGAGGAGAGGAGAAGGAAAGGACGGAGCGGGAGGGCTCGGAGGCCCCTGGACGGGGGGGGGGTGCCCATCCGAGGGAACGGTGCACCCCCCCTTCCCCGTCGTGAAAACGAGGCACCAGCCGCGGCAACGACCCCCCCCCTTATCCCCCCCCGCGACCTGAGTAGACCACCCAAGCCAGCGGGGGAGCGCCATAGGGGGCGGGGGTTCTGACGTCGATGAAAGAAGAAGGAGGAGAGCGAGAGGCAAGGAACAGGCAGACGAAGGCCTTTTTAGGCTTTACCCGGCGCGTGGGCATGCCCTTTTTGGTTGTTGCGGGGGCAAGCCCGCGCGGTCGCCCGCAGGCGACAGGGCGCCCTGGCCCTCTTCGTGAGCGCGCAGGCGCGTGGCGTACTTCATGCGCATGATTGCCCGCTAAAGCTCCCCGCGGCACGACAGCGACGGTAAAAGGACAAATTCGGTGACGCTGGAGCCCCTAATGCGACGAGGAAGCTACAGATGCATCTTCTGCGACACTGGAGCTCCACAGGACAAGTCAGCTCAGCCTGCCTCAGCCTCAGCCTGCATCAGCCTCAGTTTCAGCCTCAGCCTGCGTCAGTCTCAGCCTGCTGCGCTCCCGCATACCCCTTTGGCCTCAGCCTGCCTCAGCCTCAGCCTGCACCAGCCTCAGCCTCAGCCTCAGCCTGCCTCAGCCTCAGCCTGCTGCGCTCCCGCATACTCCTGCGGCCTCAGCCTGCATCAGCCTCAGCCTGCATCAGCCTCAGCCTCAGCCTCAGCCTCAGCCTCAGCCTCGGCCTGCCCCAGCCTCAGCCGCACCTCCGATGGCGCCGAGGTGGCCCCCGTGCGTACCTGCACCCACGGAACTCACCTCCGACGGCGCCGAGGTGGCTCCCGTGCGTACCTGCGCGCACGGAACGCTTCTCCGATGGCGCCGAGGTGGTTCCCGTGCGCACCTGCGCGCACGGAACGCACCTCCGATGGCGCCGAGGTGGTTCCCGTGCGTACCTGCACGCACGGAACGCACCTCCGATGGCGCCGAGGTGGCTCCCGTGCGTGCCTGCACGCACAGAACGCACCTCCGATGGCGCCGAGGTGGCTCCCGTGCGTACCTGCACGCACGGAATGAGCTCCGCCGGATTATCCCGGTTTCTGCCGGCTTCCGCCCGGACCCCCCTGGAGTGTCATGATGCTCTCCTTTGACCCTACTAGAAGCCTATCAGCGCAAGCTGTTAGGTAAAAACTCAAACCTCGCATCCGTGAGGCTGTTGCTAATTTCGTGCTCCAGGAATAGAACTGCTGATGAACAGTCAGGCGAAATGCCCGGCCCGCCCTACCGCCACGTCTGTGGGTGCGACAAAGAGGACTTACAGTCGAGGTTGATTAGTTGGTCGACCCTGCCAAATCAAGGGTGCCCTTGTGTCCTGTGCGTCGCGACCCATAGTTTTACATTCCTATGGCAACGTGGCCCTCGGAAGGGTTTGGTGTCCTCTCGCGTGTCCTCTCCAATCAACCCCGACTGCATGTACGCATAAGCGAAAGGTAAAAAGGTGAATCAGGAAATCCAGCCGTGAATTGGGAAATCCGGTTCCGAACGAGTACGTTCTCTTCGGGCAACCGGGGATTTGTGTGGCGAGGGGAGACAGTTTCTGGGAGCTCCCGAACAATGTTCATCGGAACGAGAATGTCGGGCGAACGAAGATTTCGGCCAGGCGCACGAGGATCGTTTCCGCTGGAATTGGTTCACTAGGCGACGATTTCAGTTGCAGGTTGTGTTTTTTGGTGCAGGGTGTCTTCCCTTGCTTTAGACCTGCCGTGATTGCGGGTCTGCGGGTTCTTCTGGGGGTCGGGGCGTGGACTTTATACATCGGATGTCGTCGTGTTGGGTCTTTCTGGAGGCGGCGCCGCATGAGGTTGTCACTTGCTCTGTCCTGGACCATCCTCAGCGGAAGCCAGCTAAAGTAGGGCAGGCGGGTTACGTGCGTCATGTTTCCTCATGCCTTGTTGCTCTCGAGTGTTTTTCCCAACCATCCTGTGGTGTTGGTTCCTCGTTTTGAAGAGACGGTGGCCCGCGTCTCCTCTCCTCCTCTCCTCCTCCCCCTCCTCCTTGCGTTTCACCCACCCAGCACAGCGCTTCGTAGCCCCATAGGGAGCTCCACCGAAGGCCCCAGTGGCAGGGTTCGCATGGCGGCCTCGGGCCATTTCGGCACACCCTTCACGAGGATCGTGGCCCCATAGGGAGCTCCACCGAAGGCTCCAGTGGCAGGCTTCGCATGGCGGCCTCGGGCCATTTCGGCACACCCCTCACGAGGATCGTGGCCCCATAGGGAGCTCCACC